AACCTTCGTTCGACCCATCCATGGCGGCACACCAAACATCACCGTTCAGTGCCGGGCAGCCGAACACAGTGACCCAACCACACGCGCAAGCCATGACTTTGCCCTTCGCCACACCATATCCGCAGCAAGGTGCCATGACCAAGGTGGGGGACGAAAAGGGGCTACCGCTGAGTAGGGGAATCAAGATTCGCCCAATCCCACCCCAGTTCAAGTTCCCACCTGTCCCGTGGTACTCGGGCGAAATGGACCCAAAAGAGTTTCTATCCATCTACGAGTCCGCGATCGAAGCCACTCATGGTGACGAAAACACCAAGGCAAAGGTAATCCATCTCGCTCTAGATGGTATCGCCCATTCTTGGTACTTCAACTTACCAGCTAATAGCATTTATTCGTGGGAACAACTGCGCGATGTCTTTGTCCTTAACTTTCGAGGCACTTATGAGGAGCCGAAGACGCAGCAACACCTACTTGGCATTCGCTAGAGGCCAGGGGAGTCGATAAAGAAGGAAGAAAAGAGGGAGGGATGTATGTACGTAGTTACCGTGAGGAGTGGAGGTCCAGAAGGAAAGGGCGGTGGAGATGATTTTTGATGGGTTTTGGAATTTTTTTAAAAGATAGATATAACAGTGTAAAATATTGGGTTCACTGTATTAACTAAAAATCGATGGCTAGATGTATTTCTTTTTTCTTATAATTTCTTCGATTTCTTTGATTTATTGAGTGCCGATTGTTATAAATAATCGACACATATAAGGCCAGCAATGTGGCATGATGGTCCAGAATCGGCACCTATAAGTCGGTATAAGTGTCGGTTCGTGGTATAAAACCGATACCTACACATATTATAGGTGCCGATTTTACAACTGGCACCAATGACCGAAGTCATCCATGCCATTATCTGGGTGTCGGTTGGAAAAACCGGCACCTAAGAGAGTTTCTTGTTACCTACGGTGCAGTTGAATGTGCCCCAGTACAATTGTTGATTTGACCCCAGTCCACCTGGTCATCTTGTATGAGCACAGCTACTAATTAAAATCTTTGTGATTAGCCGTCTGGTTTGCAAGCCCATTGGATGATTTTCTAGCAACAGTGTAGAAGAAAAAAAAAAACTATCGATGTTTTTTTTGTCATAACTCCGTAATAAAAAAAAAAACGTTCTCAAACTAATGGATTGGCTAAAACCAAACAGTTTCCATGGTTTTTTTCTTATCGGTAATATTGTTCACAGTGATGACCCCGACGTCCTTTTTTGTTGGCTCCACCCCTAATGACACTTATAGATCTAATCTAACGGTACAGAATAACGGTACAGAATAACGGGTCCACCAATTTAAATGAAAATCGACGGTGAGATTAGACTATGCCAAGTGGCATCCTAGGAACGTTGTAGGAGTGTCATGTGGCGGCTTGGGAGCGTTTGTAGGAAGTTTAATAGACTTTTAGTATATAATAGATAGATAGATGTATAAACCTTACCAATTATCACTTTAGTTTTTGAAATTTTACCACATAACCCATTTTGCTACAAAAGCTTATCCATCCAATACAAGTGAGTAGCTGATTTATTCTGTTTCTTTCAACAAAATGGGTAATAAAGAGGAATAGAATGTCAATTGAGCTTTGTCAGGGTTATGGATACTACATACCTAATAGTAGTTGACTAAATCTCGACAGGATCCACCACATACCATGTCTTATACGGAAACTGACCTTGGATATGGAGGGAGTTCCGGATAAGGAAAGACAACTAGAGTTCTACATGGAAACAACAAGAACGACTCGGATTATATCCATATTGGTCTCTCTAGTTCTACTTGGACATGGGGTACCTATGGGTATAAATACAAGGCCCCCAGGAGGAGAGGGGACACGGAACAATAAATCAACATACAAGCCAACATACGCCAAGACAAGACGCCGAATATCGATTTCAGAGATAAACATGGCTAGTCCCTTACGGCGTCTACGGATACTGTCAGGAGAGACATAGCACTGTCTTTGATCTCGCCGGATGCTGATTCGAGGAGGAAGACTACCCTGTTGTCGACTAAGAGTCAGCACTTCAGACCGCCAAGTCGATAACGGTTAGATAGGCTACCCCACATAGTGTACTGGTGTGATTATGGTGAATAAAGAGCAACACCGGCTTCGGCCAACAGGATGTAGGGCTATTACCTGTAAGATAAGGGGCCCGAACCTGTATAAAAATCCTCGTCTCTATCTCTTTTACCTAAGTCTCACATATATCCTAGTACCAACGATCCCCATACTATGCAAATACTGGAATCACGACATTAAACGTCGACAAGCTTGTTTATGCAATTTTTCCTTTTTTTACGAGAAGAGGGGTACTAGGATACTAGCTAAGGATACTTGCCAAAACTACTTGCTACGACCCTTAAAAATATAGCATTTTTTATGTTTTACTGATATTTATTACGCTAGTGTTCGGTTGGTTTCTTTAGCTTTGTGTCTTACTGTTAATTAAATTGGAGAAAATTCCCTACACACCCCTGAAAAGTTTCGCAATCTCTTATATATCCCTAAATTTTGCCTCATCCACTATATGCCCTTGAATTTTTATTTTGATCCCTTCTATCCCTATTGCGTTAGTTGACCATAAGTTGACTGTCAGATTTTTCTAGACAAACCATATCGCCCATTTCCCATGCTTACATGCTATCTACTACATTCGTCCCAAAATATAAGCATTTTTAGTTATGAATCTGGACAACTGTGTATCAAGATTCATAGACAAAAGTTGCTATATTTTGGGACGGAGGGAGTACTTCATAATTCACAATATCAAAAATTGCAATTCATGATAAAATCAAATGGGGCATAATTATTTATTGGAAGATTTGAAAAAGAAAATTTAAATTGTTGAACAATTTTATTTTTTTTGACAAAATCCATATGAGTTTTAGCTAGAAATTATGAACCAAAATTATTTATTTAATGGGTTCAAATTTTGATGAAAACAGTGTACGAATTTCATAAAAATTAATTTATAATTTATTTAAAAATTTTAGATTTATTTTTAAAATTTATTGTCAAATAATTATATTCCCTTTGTTTTTCTACAAATTGATCTTTTTTTCATATAACAATTGTGTTTTTATCACTAAATTAGCACATAAGTATAAGAGAGAGGTAATATATTCAATTTCAAAATCATTTAACGATCAACTCATGGTCAACTAACGGAATGGGCATAGAGAAGATCAAAATGAAAACTCAGGAGTGTATAAGGAACGGGACAAAATTAATGGGCGCACAAGGGATTTAATGAATTCTCAAGAGTACATAGGAGATTTTTCTCAAAATTGTTGGTGTTTTTTTAATATATACCAGAAAAAAATGATCGTGCGTTGCAATGGGTAAAGATGATTTTGGATCGCTATACATACTCCTTCCTTGGTTTAGGGCCGAAAACCCATTCCTTTCTTCCTTTTTAGTCCCAGCATAGTCTGCTACCTTCCTTCACTCACCCTAGCTTCTTCGGCCCAGTCCACAAGTGAAGCCGTAGTCCTAGCTTCACACAGCTGACTGTTGTCTTCAACATTTGGAAGACAGTCCCGTGCCCGTACAATGACAGAGCCGATCCTCCCCATCGAATCCGGACGAATCTTTCTCGATCTCCCAAAATTGGTTGAGGGATTTTGACCCATTCGATATCATATTTCCCTTTTTCGTAAGATCGGAACAAATCTGCAAAACTTGAGATAAAAATAGCTGGGAAAGCTCGCTGGCCGGCCATCATCGGTGATTGTTAAATGGAGATTAAATCCAACGAATTAAAGCTGAGTTGAAAAGGGAAATCAAGTGGAAGGAGTGGGGAATCGATTTTTGCAATCGATTGGAGGAGAAAATGCATGGGAAGGATGTGGTGGCAGTGCTAGGGTTCAGCCCGACGACAGAAAAAAAAAACGGCGATTGGAAAGAACCGTGCTGATAAAAAACGGAAGCCTTACCACGTGCAAAAAAGAATCACGAGGTGAAAAAATGGAAAATGTTGCAAATCGGCAGCCCGATGGATCGAACGAACCACATGCATGTATTTCTTCTCTTTCTTTTCTCCTCTCTTTAAATATTTTTCTCCTAAATTACTTATCCTATCTACGATCTGATCACATCGTTCTATTCGTTGCAATTAAATCTTTATAACAAGATATCATATGATTATATTATGTCAAAAGAAAAACATGTGTTTCACGTGATAGTAATATGTTTCAATATGTGTCTTCAGTGTGTTTCACAAAATTCCTAAAACTACCTGCAACTACTCTCTCTCTCCTCTCTCCTCTCTCTCCACCTCATGCATGTATATTTCAGCAAGCTTCAAAATGATTTTTCTCGTAAATTACTTAATATCCAATCTACGATCCGATCAAACTGTTGCATTCACTGTAATTAAATCTTTACAACAAGATATCGCATGATTATATTTTGATAAAAGAAAAATATATGTTTCAATCCGTTTATACTTGTTGTTTCATATGTGATAGTGATATGTTTTAACGTGTATCTTCACTATGTTTCATAAAATATTTAAATGTTTCAGTTGTTTATTTTTTATTTCACCATATATAAGTTAATGTTTCACTTGTTGGTCAACTGCAATACTTTTCCGATTTTTTTTGGAGGGGGGGCATCGGGCACCCGATGGGTAGATTCCTCCTGAAGAAACGGTGATGAAAAAATAGGATGGACAAAACACCGGAAGCCTAAAAAAATGCGTGCCCAACAAAACAAACCGATGACGGAAAAAAGTGATAAAAAAACCAAACCGAACGGACCATAAAAAACTAGATGCCTAATAAGTTTTTTTATTAAGTATAGATTGTTAGTAGATTATAAAATGATGCTACTTGTTAAGAGTCTCATAGTGACACCATCGATTTAAAATCCTGAGCTCCACCCCGACATACAATTGTTGGATACAACATGGAGAATCCAAAAGAAAATCTTCGCTCTAAATTTAAATATTTGATTCATCGTTTGAAAATTAATAATTTCATCAAATGTATATATGTATATAGCTATTCTGGCGAAAAACATTTGAGCATATATATATGTAACCCTTATTATGCGCACACACACGCACTGCTATACCAAAGAAAGAGTTAATTAATTGAACAACTTAGTCCAATAATAATAAAAAAAGTGTGCGAGTAGTGGGGATTGTAAGTATATGTAACCACAACGGTGCGAGAACCGTCCGATTCCTGACACGTGTCGTCTCTTCTGACCGTCGATCTTCCGTGGCAGACAGCGTGGTCCATGCGTATACGTGGCCGTGTGACGTGTCCGGTTACACTTGCACGCGCTTGCGATCTCGAGAGGTCAGAGGAAGTCGACGCCGAACTCGTCGTCGAGCGCGCCGCGGCCGAGGTCGAAGCAGGACTCCGGCATGTCCCGCGACAGCGACCGGATCGGGAAGCTCGCCGCGGCGCCGCCGCCGCCGTCCAGCCTTTGCGGCGGCGTCGGCAGCGTCGGCTCGTGGTGGTGGTGGTGGTGGTGGTGCCAGGGGCTGAACCTGGCCTGGACGTCGAACGGCGGGTACGGCGGCGGCTCGGCGTCGACCCGGCCGAACATGTCCATGTGCGGCAGCAGCGGCGGCGGCGGCAGCTCGCCCGCGCCGCCGACGACGACGCTGCCGCATGTCCACGCCGTGCTGTTGCTGTTGCTGGAGCTGTCGCCGGTGTAGGCGCTGTACGTGCCGGCGTCGGACACGACGTCGACGCCGCCGCCGCTCCCGCCGTAGTCGCAGAGGGTGTCCGACCGGAACGACGAGTGCTCGCCGCCGGCGGCGCCGTAGGGAGACGACGACGACTGCATCATCGTCGTCGGCACGTTGGTCACGGACAGCGGGTCGAAGCTGACGGCCGGCGAGTGCGGCGGCGCCAGGGAGTCGCTGCTCCCGCCGCCGCCGATGGCGAAGCAGTCGTCGACGTCGTCCATTAGCTGCTGCTTGTCGCCGTCGTCGTGGTGCTCTTCTCCGGCGCCGGCGCCGCCGTCGTTGAGCGGCTTGTGGGTGGCCGGATCGATGCCGCGCTGCCGGAGCTTCTTCTTGAGGCACGAGTTCCAGAAGTTCTTGATCTCGTTGTCCGTCCGGCCGGGCAGCTGCGCCGCAATCTGGGACCACCTGATCACAATTCACAAATCCATGTGCAAACATTGGGATCGTGTTGTCAGACTCTCGTAACAACATTTCGGTAGCCAAAACGGCACTATCAGCTCATGCGTCGACGTCGTCGTTACAGACATGTGTACGTGCGATAAAGACTCAACAGAGCGAGACGTACGTAAATTCGTTGGGTGGAAAGAACTCAGAAGTTGTTGATTAAATTTGAGACTCAATAGTCAAACCTAGTGGTTGTTAGTTAGTAATTAGCACATGGTTAATGTTGACTAATCTGAAACATATATTTTTGTCTAGCTAATCACCTAGCTATATGATCCAGAAACTCACTGTGAGAAAAAAAAATGATCGAAAACTTTTAAAATTTTTTTGCTGAATAATTCAAACGCATTATACTCTTGGATCCAATTAAACATTAGAAATTTCAAACCGGAATTGGGAACCCTGTAGATCACACCTGTTGCCAAGGATTTTATGGAGGCTGATGATGAGCTCCTCCTCCTGCTGGGAGAAGCTGCCTCTCTTGAGATCAGGCCTCAGGTAGTTGATCCATCTCAGCCTGCAACTCTTGCCACACCTCTCCAATCCTGTACACAGCAACTCAGCAACACACATTATATTATTCACACACTGTCAGAGAGTGAGATACAAAGAGAGAGGTATAGCAACTAAATTACGATATAAACACATTTCTATAGTGAGCATTATGCAGCAGGACAGAAATTGATGAAATAATAAACTGAAATACTATAAACACATTGATGTAAGCAATTAGCATTATTATTCAGGAGAAAAGAAGTGATTAATTAACCCAAGTTTAGCTTAGCTTGTCAGTTTGCCATTTTGGTTACTAATGCATACACTGATCGATGGGCGTACCGGCGAGCTTTGGGACGGAGCTCCAGCAGCCGACGCCATAGCGGCTGATGTGGTTGAACAGCTTCTCGTCCTCCTCCGGCGACCACAGCCCCCTCCTCAGCTTCGGCTTCGGCGAGCACGCCGCCGCCGACTCTCTTCCCATCGCCGCCGCCGTCGGCGAGTCACCTTCGCCGCGGCCGCCGGCGCTGCCAGCCTCAATGACGACGAGGAGGAGGAGAGAAATCGTCTACGGCCGGCAAAGGCAGGCGGCAGCAGCAGCAGCTAGCTGTTGCTATAAAAGCGGTGGTTATGTCAGTCTCTCAGAAATCGGGAGACGACAGCAGCAGAAGGAGGCAGTTCGATGCTTGTGCCTTAAGCCACACATAATAACGGATTAAAGTAGTATGACTAGCAGCTTAACCAAACAAAGAAAAGAAAGCTTAAAGAAAATTTAAAGGCACTGAGAGGAGAGAGAAAACGATCCCAATTTACAACCAAACGAGAGAGAGATGACAGTTTAATCTGATGCATGATAAAGTGTGGGGTTGAAGCAAGCAAGCAACGGAATCATTATTTAAGAGAGAGAGAGAGAGGGGGGGACGAAGGGAAGAGAGGTAGCTTGAGGTGCAGGGAAGAGGCGATCAAGTACAATAATCTCTGATCGATCCATCGACAACTAACGCATATGCATGGCCTAACTATATTGCATGTGTGGGGGCAACGGTCTCTCTCTCTCTCTCTCTCTCTCTCTCTCTCTCGTCGTCTCTCATGAATTATCATCGTCATCCTCGTCGTCGCCATCATCATCGTCGTCGTCATCTCTGTACTACTGTGTGCCCTGGGTCTATTACATGTGTGGTACTGTGTTAAAGGCACTTGATTAATAATTTGCCTTTATCATTATTGTTGCCAAATATATTGCCTACCTTTTTTTCTTGTCAATCTGCCTTTTTTCCCTTAACGGTTCAGGATGGATGGATGGTTAGGTTTGTTTATTAACGGTTCAGGATGGATGCCTTTTTCCCTTATCTGTTACAAATTTATTTAGTTGAAAACTTTCAAGGGAGTAGCTACATTTATGGTGCCATATTTTTCATCCAAAAATAGTCAGTATGCATTTACATTATTGTAAGTCTCTACTAAATTATATATGTAATTTTAGTATATTTATAATATAAATCCCCAAATTATATATGTAAATCTTTAAATTACACATGTAATTTTAGTGCATTTAGATAACTTGACTCACTGATATTCATTTTGTGTCAGGGCGTGGGCTTAGGCATCCTTCAATATTAGCTTGGTTAACATGGAACTGGATTTTTCCCCTCTTTACCCGAGACTGACTTCGGTTGGTCCCGGCTACCTAATAGGTTACATACACGTGTGCGCGTTCAGTGGGACTGCACGTTTCCGGCCTAGTGCTTCCAATCTCATTACTAGCGTGTGTTAGGGACGCGCACGTGTGTGTGTGCGTGTGTTGTGGTGTGTGTTAGTGTGCGTCCTGAGTTGTACCCTTCTCAAAAAAAAAATATGTCGACATTATTTTAGCAAATTCGAATTTCAATTGTTTAACTTAATTACTCCTATATTATAACCTCTATACGCTCTCATTTTTTTCTCCCCACACAAATCTCGATGCAATAATCTAGACTATTTTCCTTCTCTCTGCAAAAATCTTGATATAATCTTTTCTTTAAAGAAACACAGTAGGAGAGGCCCCCGCTGTTAAAAATGCTTTATTAAAGGCCAATAAAAACAAAAGAATTACAACATTCTAGTCCAATTTAGGATTACATCTTTCTCTCTCATTTAATCTAAACAACAAAAGGAGGAGATCAAGTCTCCAAGAGGCTAAAGAATGGTAAATATTCTCAAATATATAACCATTCCTCATTTTCCAGATATTCCAAGCCCCTAACAAAAATATTTCCATAAAACACCGGCCGTGAAGTAGGCATTTAGACTTCACCATCATTAGCTCAAGAGAAAGAGATGTGTCCCAAATTATGCCCAAAGCATTCCAACAGCTCATTGAAAATCTCGATATAATCTATTCATTCTCTCTGCACAAATCTTCATATAATATGATGGTAGACATTGAAAGTTACGATGTCGCTGTAGTGTACTTACACACAATAATACAATACTTACATTTAAAATATTTTTACCAAAAAACTTATGATTTTTTTACCAATTGTCTGATTGTTCATTTGCAACACAAGTGGTTCTTTCGAAACAAGATCATCTACCATAGTATTATTGTACTGTCCTCTGAGTTTAAGTGGCTGATATGTACGTGAGCCCCACATCTAGCAGGTCTCACATATTAGTGACCCACGTCAGGACACAGTACTGCAGAGGAGACTCACCCCATTCTTTCGACGGCTGTTCGAGTCGCGTGCATGTAGTGGCTAACCTTCTCACTATGGCAAGCCATAACACCTGCCGTAGCTAACTAGCTATGCCAGCGCCAAAGCAAGTAGAGAGTATTTGCGATTTAGTCATCATCATGTTGATTTTACATTATTGGTGTGGCTAAGTAGTTATTTGATTCGATAGAAGTTTACTGGTTAGGTTTAATTAATGGGATGTAAGGGCTATGGTGGAATTGTCTTATGTCTGCAAAAATGAAGTCGAACGGTAAAATTTAAGGCAAATTTTATTTCAGGACATCATAACTTAATTTATAGATTTAATTATATCATGGGAGAAGATATTCTTAAATTGTGGATATGTTGTTGGACATCGTACCCATTAGAATATTTATTTCCGGCTAAATAAGGGAGAGAAACGGTGTAAAAGGTAAACAATAGCCCTAGTCCGACATGTCAGCTCTTCATCTATCTTATCTCTTTCTCCCAATCTCTTCCTCCTGATAGCACCTTCCCGTTCCATTGTTGCCCCAACGACGATGAGCATTTCACGAGCTCTTCCTCCCCCACCCCCAAGCAACGGCATGACGGCACAGGACCTAGCATAGGTGGCGGCGAAGAACTGGTGGCTTCAGGGCTAGGTTGCCCCTGTCCCCACATGTCAAGGTCCATTTCTCCCTGGGTGAGGTAGGCAAGCAGTAAAAGGAAGGCATGTAGCTTTTGATTGCTTTTACTGATTTTGTTCTTCAGTAGAATTATTGAGTGGCATGAACATCTAGGGCTCCAAGCATATGCACGGGGGTAACCAGAAAAAACTAAATAAAAAGGACAGGGTTTGAGACTGAGAAATTTGGTCACCAATTTGGTCTCAAGTATTGAAAGACTGAATTTTGTTCAGTTAATTTAGTTAGTAACCCTGATAAACTGAACAAACCAAACATACCGAGTTTTTCCCAAAATGCCCAAGCAGCCCAACATTAAACCCTAACTTCCTCACCTAACTTCTTCCTCCTGGCTTCCTCCACTTTTCATATCGCACACCTCACCTCCACCATGTAGAATGCCGCCACCTTCTCCTCCGTGACGCCCCTTCATTCTCGATCTCCCTCACACTGCATCGCCTTCTCTTCCTCGAGCAGACGTACTCGGTAACTGTACGTCTCCATAGAAGAATTCCATTAAAGCATGCTAGCTAGCTTCAATTCCATCGGCTAGAGGGGTTCGAAGAAAGTCGATCGTTTCAATTCATGTGTTTTAAGTCTTTCACGCAGGAGAACTGGTGAGATCGATATATATGATCGATCATTGGGAAATTATTCTATAAACTCTCGAGGTTGTGTCCTCTTGTTATTTACATGTCACTTAAATAGTTATGGAAAAATTTGAAAAAAAATTAAAATATATTAATGGCTTATGGAGAATATTGAACTTAAAATTCAACTTTTATATGTCGCAACAAAAAAAAATAAATTTAATTTAATTTGTTTTTTTCGTTGCGACATGTAGAAGTTGATTTTTAAGTTGTATGTTTATAGAGCAATATATTACATGTTAATATATCTTCTTAAATTTTTTTTTATAATTGTTTGAGTGACATGCAAGTAAACTAGCGTGGACGTTCCCTCGAGAGATTAAAATCCACTTCCATCGATCATTCAGGGTAATGTCGTCGCTAGCTACATGTGCAGAGACGCACGTCCTATATACGTACGTTGATCATGCCGCTGTGGTCATGTCGTTGTAAGCTGGTGAGGTGGTTGCACTGTTGCAGCACCGGTGGCCCGGCGCGCGAGGTACGACGAACGCTCAAAACATTCACCACATTTCACTGACATGCATGTGAACTCACAATATTGATAGAATTGGTGTTTCATCTTAAAGTAATATAGCTATGCCTCTTTGTATCTGGCTAATTTAGTAAGCATAAAAAGAATTAATGGCAAAAAATATGTAGCTGAATAGGTAGATAATTTTAGAATTTAAAATGAATACCAATGATATTTTTTTTTATTTTGTGATATTGCATGAACAAATCAGCTGGCTTGTATTTGATATAGCTCATTAGCTCCAGATGCAAAAGTTTTTAGAATTGAATATTAATTCCTAACTCTAGGCATCGGCGGATCTGAATACGCAATTATATTGGTAGCATTTAAATAAATCATTTTGGGGTTTTGTTTTATAAGAAATCTTAACTAATATAAAGATTCATAAATTTCTGTTCGTCACACTTATTTTCGTCCGTCAAACGTTCGATTCCCTCTTCCCCTCTCATGCGTGTGTGTTGTCCGTCTTCGATAGTTAGCGCGGAAAAAAAACATAGGTCGCATCATACTACAATAGGAAAAATAGGGTTCGGATAGGGCTTTATTCCCTGCTAAATACGAAGCGGATTTGCTTTGATTTTTGGGAAACCGGAAAGAGGAGGATATAAGCTAGATTGAAACTCCTCAATCAATTTCATATTATCTTTAAGGATGCGGCCGGATTTCATGGAGGCGGAGACATCAGGAGGCGTGATGAGGAACTTGACGGAGGTAGGGGATGACACGGTAGCGATGGGCCCACACAACAGTGAGATGGGGAGGGTAATTAGACTTTCGTTGCTTGCTAGGTCGGACACGTGTCTGCGGGCGAGGAGGAGGGAAGAATAAGGGATGAAAGCGGGCCGGCTCGGCTGTGGGCTGAGCGAGGCCATGGGCTGAAAATGGCCCAGGTGTAATGAGGATTTTATTTAGTTTTTTATTTAAATAAATGCTGAAATGATATTCGTATTAGTAAGGAGTTGGGAGAAGGACGCGGCCTGGAGTCGTCGGCAGCGGCGGCGGCGCCGGCGACAGTCGCAGTCACCGCGTGGTCTTGAATCGGCTACGGCGGCGCTGCTTGCTTGGAGGCAGCGGCGTATCCCGGCGTGGATGCGGCAGGATGGGAGGGAAGACGAGAGATGGTGTGACTGGGAGCTGCCGATCCGGGCTGGCGGCCGACGACCTGTGCTCCTGGATTCACTCGGATCTAAATCAGGATTGGAAGAGGAAGACTATACGGCTGTGAGTGACCTAGGGTTATTTGGTACATATATATATATATGAACGAACGAAGTGGGCCTATAAAACTGGGCTTTTCACTGTTATGTGGGCTATGACCTGTGGGCTATAGAGGGATTTCTGTATGTTCTAAGCCATACTCAGGGACCCACGGGGATACGGGGACGGGGGAATAGGGAACGTCCCCGTCCCCGCTCCACCCGATGGGGGCCTTTTTCAGCCGTTAACACCCCATGGGAGGTTACAT